AGACATAATAATCAAACAATAGAATAATATTAGAAATTTCATAATTTAATAAGACAGTAAATATAAAAAATTATTAAAATTCATTAAACGTAATATAATTAGAAAATTTTCTAACTTAATCAATAAATATCTAGACAAATTAATCATTTAAGATAAGATCTCGAAGATATTTTATAAAAATTAAATGAAAGATTTAATTTATTTTCTAAGATTTATATGATAAATTAGATCAGTATATATATATACTTAAATTGTTGAATGAAGTTTATTAAAACAAATAAAGAGAATATAATATTTCACACATTATTATTAGGAAAAAATATAATTTAATGCTATATTTTTAGAATCATGAAAAACGGATAATATTTAATTAATTTTTATTTATATCGGGATACAACTTTAATTTATAAAAACAAAAAAGTTGTTATATGAACTAATTGACATTTTCATAATCATATTCGGCAATGATAACTTAATTTAACTAAATTTCTTATTTTATCATAAAGACGAAATATTTTATATAATACTTGACCCTTAAATATAATTATAATGATTTATCATGTTAATGAGAATTTTGGAAAATATTAGAATTAAATTAGAGCGAAATCATTAATTTTCAATAAGATAAGTTTCGAATTCAACGTTTCAGTTACATTTTTTTAAATTTAATAATCGATCAGATTCAGATATAATTCATTAATTGATCATATTTTGGATATCGGATAATGATAGGAATATTATTATTCGAAAATTTATTTATATCAAGATAAATCATTTATTAAGACAGGATTCAAGACATAAAATGTGATATTAAATACGTTTCGTAAATTATTAGATAACATATTAAGTATTATTAGTTCAAATATTCCTTATATTATATATATATATGATATTGAAACAATTTTTTTAATTGATTGATGATGCTACTTCATCAATCAATATTTTTTGAAATTACTGTATGTCCGAGATTAGAAATAAAAATATGACCATAAATTAATCATTTTTACAAATATTGATTTCACGGATATCTAGTGATTAATATTTAATTATATTGACTGTAGCACTACATTCTAGCAAAATAATTCTGATTTTATATAAATATTAAATCGAATCTAATAAGATTAAAATAAAAATCAATAATAATTACGATTCATGATATTATCATTATAATCGAGTTTAAAATCATATTACATATATTTTTTATATAGTTATATATAATATAATTATTATGATAATATTATATAATAATTTAAATGAACTTTTGGAAATACTAAGACCAATATATACAC